CCACTTAACCATGTTAGACATTAACTGCAAATATTGTGATACGAGGCATCAAATTTTTCTAATAAAAAAGATAATAATTCGGCTTTTTAACCTTTTTGATCAGATAATACACAGGATGTTTACAAAATGTGTACCCTCCAAATCCTACTAGCGATTCTTGGGGTAAAAGGACGATAATTCAACCGAATTTAAAATGTGAACGGTTTTCTTATAATTTAATTTATTATCTCTTATAATATAACTTATAATATAACTTAAGTTCGAACCTCCATGATTTTTAGGACAAGAAATAAGAATCCGTATATGTAAATCCTCTTTTAAAGTGCGTTTTTATAACTCAGTGGCAGTCATTCTGGTTGACCATATTTGTGCTTGTTTGTACTAACACAGGTTTTATGAAAAAAAAATTTCTGGTTTCTGGTGTAAAAATATACAGAAAATATTTGATACTTAATTTTTGCTTTCAAAAAATGTACTTTTTGTCAAAAAATCGTGTGGAGTTGCACATTTGATGAATACGACGTGTTACTAAAAAATATGTAAAGAATTCCTCTTCCTGTTATTTTTCCACTACTTTTTAAAATGTTCAAGAAATGAATGATTTTTCGAAATATTTGACTTGTAAATAAAAGTAACTTTTCGTCTGAATTTTTTTGAGACATAATTATGTATGTATAACACTTACAGCAAAAAGATTAATATTTTGCTGAAACCATTTGCTCGCATTAATGTATTTAGTTAAAGGTATTGCTACTTCATATTTATAAGAAATAGAGATCATATTAGCTATTGATTCAGGCCAGGACTGAATATAATAAGTCGTTTTTATAACATTTAACTTATTACTTGTGCGTAAATTAAATATAATTCCAATTAAAACAAATTAACTACACAATTATTCATTTTATTATTATTTTCTCTTGTTTCTGAAGTATTTTTGATCTATTTCTGTTGAAATTATTTGAATAACCATTTTGTTCGCCTTTGTACAAGTGGCTGTTGCTGCTTGGGATTTTCAATTTTTTCGAGCTCAATTTCTTACTCTTTCTTCTTCAGTTGCGCTCTCTAGCAGAAAATGATAGGTCTTAATATGGATCAATTTCACGATCTCTAGGAAACACTTGTGTCCGAAGACTCCCAAAAAATTATTTAAATCGCGGAAAATTCTGCCTTTTACACCCTTCGAGATTGTTTGTTAAAAATGTTTGAAATGTTTTGAGGATGAGAGATATTCCAATTTTATTATATCAGTTTTACATAAAAGACGCATGATTTTTGTATATTTTCGTTTCTTTCTACTATGATTTTTCGTCTTCAATACCTTACAAGTTCTTAGAGCTTTTCTAGGAAAAAACAATAATGGATTCACTTTGTTTCATGATAAATTTGCTTCCTTGTCATTTATATGTTTTATATTCCCAAGTTTGTTTTTGTTCGTTTTTTTCCGTTCTTCTGGCGTCTATTTTCGAGTAGTTTCCTTTGCTTTTCTGTTCTTTTTTTCTGTCTTTCCAATCAAAATCAATGAATTTGCGTCTTTGCCTCTTGAAGTCGTAGCATTTGAATCGTTTTATAC